CTCCACAGAAGGAAAATATGAAATAAAGCTCTGTTGATTGTCCATCAGAGCATGTAAACCACTTCCCCCACCTTAGTCAGTTAAAGCAAAATTAAAAGAAAAATAAACCCTTATTAGCATGTGAGCTCTTCATTTGATGCAAATTGGCACAACTCTACCGGATATCTGACTTAAGCAGAGTTCTAAAAGGACTTACCCCCAAGAAGATCTGGGCCAGGGTATTTTAATGGTGATTTCATGTGGGTGGGTGAGAACATGATTCTTCATCCTTATTCAGGCTGAAAACAAGGAATGTACTACAGAACTACAGATCAGTTGAGAAATTTATTTTTTGCAGGAAAGGCAGCTAAAGAGGCTCAGTTCTTCCAAAATTAGCAACCACTAGTGTGGTGTATAGCTCAGGTCAAATGACAAGTGACTGTGATGCTGCCCAGCATCTCCCCACCTGTATCAGAGCTGCATCCAGCCCCTGTTAGCTTTATTTTCAGACTAAACTTGCAAATCCAGAGGACTGGTAAAAATGCATAACATCTGAATAAAATAGCTTGGCAGGATATCTTTAACATTGCCTAAAAATCAGAGGTTAATAAATAGTTAAATTTAGCTGTAGCTTCTCTTAAGCAGTTTAAACATAAGTCAATATTTTTGTCCTTTGTTGTCTCAGGGTCTCTTCTACATGAGCACAGAGAATTTCATCAATGATCTTTCCACGCTTTATAGCATTATGCCTTTGTACCATTATATATCTAACGTGCTATCAGCAGTATGAAAATAACTATCGGTCACTTCAAACCAGAGTAAGTATCAATAGGAAGAATGACAGTGGCTAGTTTGTACACTTGAAATGGTTTATTTGTTGCAATCCTGTGCACAAGATGTTTATCAGTAAGCACCAGACAGCCATGCAGAAGAAGGAGCCTTAATTCTGTCTGAGACAGCCTCTTACTGCTATTGATAGTTAGCATCAGTGTCCAGTCTGAGAAATGGAAGTGCTGCAGGCAACTTCAGTCAAGACACCCTATTGATCTACTGCTTCCTTTGCATCCCTGAAGCTAGAGAAGAAAAATAAAAAGGGGAGGAAAAGCTTGCTGTATGAGGGGCAATGCAGCAGTCTATGACTTACCATCATTCAAAAGGGGTGTGTATGTGCATGGATATTCCTGATATTCAGTACCTCAGACAACTGTAAATCACACGCACAGCCATGATAAATATAAATGTCAATGTGTTGGAAATGTCCTTTATATAAGAGGTGTCACTAGAACTACATTTTTAGCATGAAACATTTTTGCTGCTTTTTATTTTTCATTGACTTATTGTGCTTCTGTTATATCCTGTCTAACACAATCAATCTAAAGCATAATATCTGAGAGTCCTATTCATAAATAATACATATTTAGGTCATTTTCATTTGTATTCTACAATGAAGATTTACAAGCCAGAAACAAAACAAGAAACAATGTGTGGAATGTTCTTATTCAGTGGATAAGAATATATTACTGTGATCAATTAATCTGCTTTTCTCTGCATTAGGTGGACATCTTTATGGTACATCCATAAGGGTTTATAACTTAGGAGAGACAGAATCAGCTCTAAGGCTGTAACATAAAATGCCTGTACTCAGAAAAGAGAAACTTTTCCAAAGTTTTTTTTTTTTTTTTTTTTTTTTTTTTTTCCTTCCAATGGGAAATGTGTTAATTTTGGCAACCTCGACCCCAGCAATACCCCATCTCTCAACATAGCACGTTGCTCTGCCCTATATACTACCTCTCACGTTAAACGAGACAAAAAAAATTTCTACATTATACCATAGCTAAAAGTCAAAATAATAATTCTGGGGAATTCTATAGTGCCATTCATTCAAAGATATTCACATTCTATTACAAATTATGCAAATGCATTCTACAGGAGGGCAAACTGACACACAGAATGGTCCCAGCTCAAATTTTTTTAGCCAAAAGTTAGTAGGCAAAATTAAGTAAAAAAAACCCCATAAATCTGTGTGCATATAAATTGCAGGAGCAAATCATAACAAGAAAGGTGAAAGAAAGACTTAAACTGGTATTAGCATACTGGTATCTCATATAAGAAACTACAGTCACCTGTGCAATCACCAGCAGAGCTCGTATTCTGATAATGGGACGTCAGAGGAGCAGCAGTAATGGCCCAGATACTTACGATTTTTGCCTGCGCAGAAGGAACACAAGTTAGGGCTTGGTGAGTAAAAATCAGTCAGTGTCACTTTAGGAAAGAAAATCACAATATGCAAGAACTTTACAGGCATTATAAACTGATGAGAAAAGTTTGGGTGGATGGTGGAAGCGAGGACAAGGCTGGCCACTGTGGCACTTCCCCTGTTTGCCTCAAGCACTGAGAGATGCAGGTTATGCTGTGCTCAGTGCTTTAGACTGTGGTCCTCAAAGTGGGTTATTGTATTGGTTCTTCAACTCTGGAAATTTGTTATGAGCGCATCTTAGATAAAAAATGAAATGAGCTTTGCAACTATGGCAAAAAAGCAATTTTACATTTCATAGGCCTTTTAAACCCCTTTTGAATAGAAAATAAAAATAACAGTAAGGGGGGAAAAAAAAGGCTACATTTCCATTCCCGTTTTTATAGTTTGACGCTGCAGATGTTTCTGGGTCAGAGGTGAACATGTCTTTAGGTGTCAAAAGATGCAATAACCTGAGTCAAAAATGGCCCAGTCCCTGGAACCATGACTGTGTGCCAGAATATCCCCACCTCAGAAGCTTGCTGGCAGCAATGTGCTCCAGGTGTCTTACACTACACAGAGCTGATAGTCGTTTTAATATTTTCCATGCTTATGTAAATGGACTTGATGTGTGTTCATCAAATGTGGGAAAAACCCACAGAACTGCATGCCATCTGTTTATAGGTAAAAGGTCTGCTTCTGACAACTTAGTGCAAAATCAGAAGACAGAATGAAAGCAAGCATGCTTTTGTTTTGGTTTTATAAATCTGAGGCGTAACATCATATCAAAAACCCAACAAAGTTCAAAGGTTCATTCTGTTTGGATAGAATTGTCCTTTTCAGATGTATGAATATTACCTGAGCCCCATGGAGCTCTTAAATCTGCACCGTGTGGCTACAACCTGCAACCTAGCGAAACCCTGAGCACACACAGGATTCAGTGGGACATGGTGAGGGTACAAGGGCCACATCTTGGGCAGCTGGATGTCTGCACTCGTTCCCTGGACCAGAGCCTAAAGCATTTCACCGCTTCTGGTTGGCCTCAAGTGAGAAACTCAAGCTGAAGCAAAAACTAAAATGCTCATTTAGAAAAAGCATCGCAGTATTTTATTTAACACCCAATACCACATTTGTTTTTTTGTTAGAATTAAAGCCAAGTTTATTTCAATTAATTTGGTAGATGCCAATCAAAGTGTCCATCTTTGCTGTTAGGTCTGTTTTAAACAAGACTGTCAGACAAAAGGCAGTTATGTCTGAGGTCCTGAAAGCAACTGTGATACATTAAAGAGAAAGCTGTGGTCACAATGATTTTCAGCATCAGTTGATAGACATCAATCCATCATCAGAAAAGGAATTTGAGACCTTTCTTGTCCTTACACTCCATGTGGAACATGTGCTTATACTTTTCTATAGAGAACTGATAACCAGACCTGGGAAATTTATACCTGAATATGAGTCAGATGTTGTCAGAAGATGATGTCAAAGACTGTTTCAAAAATGTATTTTCATTATATCCCATTGGGGAGTGAGATCTTGTCTTGGGTGAAAGAAGAGTTAATGCAGCTGGCAGAGGAGAAAAACACCAGAAGAAAACAAATTGACAAAGCTAATCAAATCCAGACATATGCAATCTAAAATCTCAAATGGGATTTAAGGTAAGCTAAAAGTACACTACAGCGTCAAATGCTGTTAAACCATCCAATACGACCTGAAGAGAAGACAGAAAAAAAAATTCTCTGTAGACACATGTGTCAGATGCTCGGCAAGGTAGGTCAGTGTATCGCCATTGAGACAGGCTCTACTGCTTTACACAGGCTTAACCCTGCCCCTAATGGCCTAAAATAGATATGTTAACCTTGCAACCAGCATTGTACGGGGGTATAAAAAGAGTCTGAAAGTGCCTATGGTCAGTTAATTGGGAAAACAACCATTTCCCTGCAGTATAATTTACCCCATTTGCCAAAAGAGACAAGTTTTATATGTTTCAATCAGAAACGTGCAACTCCTCCAGTAATGTGGCTGAGACATTTACTTTGAAAATGAGGAATCTTATTTCCAAGGTCAATCTGAGGTTTTCTGGGTTCAGACTAAAATACTTTGTGGGGCCAAAGAAATATTTACTGGGTTCTAGGGAGCAAGGAGTGGATGTGTAGTTTGAACATACTTCAAGTCAGCCTGGGAGGTCTTTTTGTTTTTATATATTTGTGTCTCCTCAGACAACCTTTTTTTTTTTTTTTTTTTTTTTTTTTTTTTTTTTTTTTTTTCCCTGAGAAACTGGAAGTGAAAAAAATGATGACATTTTTTGCCAGTACATTTCAGTTGGATCATTTCCTGAATCGAACCAGAGAACCTGCATTATTGGCACTCTTTCCAGAACGTATTTCTTTCCAGTGCATCATATGAAACTACATAGTCAAATTTTGCCCAAGGGCTGCCATTCCTTCTGTATTAAACTAGAAGGAGTTTCTGTATAAAGCAACGGTTTGCTTTACGTGACCTTTGGCAGTGGAAGTGTTGGGAGAATGACATTATATATTGTAGGGCTAATGCTAGGTGGAGCTTCATAGGCAGTCGTAAATTAAACAGCAGCATTTTACAAATGAGCTCCATGATGAGTAGGTGATTGGAAGATGTGCTACTGCATGCTGGACATTAACATCCCAATAGAGAAACTATCACCTAGCCCAGGAATAGCAGTAAAGGTTAAAAGAAATATTCGATATTATCAATCATATTAAAAAAAAAAATATATAGAACTTCTTGCAGCTGCCAAAGGAGCTTGGGAGAATTAATGTGTTTATGTCAAAAAGACTGAGAACAAGTGAAATAGGACTGCAGTGATTGCCAGAATCTTACTTGCCTGGAGAGATAACATTGGACATCCAGTGTAACTAGACAGGTGCCAAAAATCCTCTTGCGGATGCTATGGAGCAGCTTTCTAATACAAGAATGTACAACAACCCCAACCTCTGGTCCTCTCTATGGTTTCCAAGTTGCTCATTAAACCAGGGAAAACTCCAGTGAGGTGTGATGACCTGAAAACAGACAGGAGCTAAAGAATCAATGTTTTAAGTAAAACAGCAATTATAAAAAGATCTACAGCTCCGTCCATGTAATCAGGTAAATTACCAGGAGCGGCATAAAGCACCTGAATTGAAGAAAGAGTGGATGAAGGGGGAGAGGGGGAAAGAAGGTCCCTTGAGAGATATCTGATAGGATGCTTAGTCTGTGTAGAGGGCAAAAGGTTAAGTGAAAATGAGATGAAGGAATGATCAGATATAGTCAGATCAGAGACAGTTAAATAAAGGAATGTGCTAACCTAAGATAAATGTGACGAAGCATGCCTGTGCTGAGTGTGTTGGTGTAGTTGTTCTTTAGCAGTTCAGGAACCAGAGAGGAGGAATTCCTGGTTCTCAATCCACATCAGTCCTAGCTGAAGCACTTCACAACAAAGAAACAGAAGGAATAAGGACACAGGTTTAAGATTTCTCTTTGCTAGTCCAATAGTGTAAAAGGATATTAAAGTGCTTCGAATTACATCCACACTTTTTGCAGGTCCCTTTTTACTGCTGGTGTGATATAAATCATCCTTAGTGATGAGAAAGAAAGTCAGGCCTGTGCCATCTGTGGTTTTGGACAATGAGAAAGATGCTGTTTGAAGAATATGAAAACAGAAGTACTGAGAATTACTTGAAAGCTGAAAACTTTTTTGGTTGGCTAACATTTTCATGGGTCAAAGAGCTCTCTTTACAGTGGGTTTTCATTACAACAAACAGCATTTGGATAAAAGAGGTGCCTAATGTAGCAAACAAATGCTTGGGACACAGTCTATATAAACCTTCACCAAATATTTTCGTAAATCTCCATTCTTAGTCTACTTAACTAAAATGGCCTGGGATAACAGACAGCACCAGAAAGCTCAAGAAGTATCTGTGCTGACCAAGTCTGGAAATGACCACAATAATTTTGTTCGAAAGCCTTTGGTGGCTTACAGCCTTTAAATGTTTCTAACAATGTCCTTAAATTTATAAACCCCAAGGCAAAAGTTCAAATTCTTAGATACTTAATGCAGAGGTCAGTACTGTTTGTGTTTCCTCAGGAGCTTAATTAACATATACAATTAGACCTGGGAATTAGGAACTTGTCTGCTAGATGCTAATACCTGGGGAACACCCAAACCAGATTTCTGAAAATCTCAACAATTTTGGTGTTACGACACTTTGAGGGGAGAAATCGTTGTGTGTTCTTCACAAAGAGTTTGTTTAGTCACATAATTCACCAAATCTAGCTGAACTTCTTATTTTTAAGACTAACACAAATCCCACATACATTTATGTTAACCCTAAACTACAATGAAAAAGTGTGGTCTGTAAATGAGGAGTTTTAAATGAAAGAGGTGGTTGAAGTATTTTGACCCTCTTCAATCAAGGTCAGTTTTCCTCTGAATTATACCTGTTTCCTTGTCTAGCATTTTAGATACCTTCCAAGTGTCTATTGACAGAGTTTATAAGTGACATTCAACAATGGAGAAGAAAGGAAACTGCTCACAAAACTCCCCCTTCCCCCATGTGATAAAAAGCAGGGTTCCAGAGGAAGAGACAAAAGAGTGTTTGGGTCCCAGTTGTATGTGCCTATGGGAAAGGAGTGGTGAAAAGAGGCCAACAGCTCCGGGAAACAGGGACGGGAGGGAAGAGCACAAATCGGCTTTATGAGCTAGCAAATGATGGATGGCTAAATGCCAGTTGAGAGCAATACATACTATTGAGTTTGCATTGTTGCGATTATTAAAGGTTATTTTACTCTTAATTTTTTGTGGTAGGTGTTCTTACTCCTTCCTTACAGAAACCCTTGATTTTCACTTGCTAGATACTTAGATGCACTTGTCATACCCAAAAGGTGATTTCAGTTCTTGGATGCCAGGAAACCTTTCCACTGATCAAAACACAGCTGCACAGCCTTGCTTGATCTATTAATGGGTGCCACAACTCTGGGGTATGTCTGTCTATACCTGTGAAAATAGATATAATTAATATAACAGATATCATATGTATATGCAAATCCAGATGGTAAAAATGACTTCTAGTAAGACAAAGTTTTCATTTGCCAAACCAAATCAAGATGTCTGAATCACTTAATCAAGCATGTGCAATCTGCACTCAAACTAGTGCTGCTGCAGTGACATCAGCATCCTCTTAATCTATTTTATTTTATATTAAGCTCCTTTTTAAATGAAAGAACTTAAGAAACACGATTTTTTTAAACATACTTTAATTAGCTTTTCGAGGCTGTCACCTCTCTGCAACCTTTAAAAATCTCTTTCCATTATTTCCCACAAGTTGCTTGGGCATATGACGTCAGACCATAGGACTACATGAACTGTCATTCAGTGGACACTGATCTTGGATATTAAAACAATAAATGAGCAACATTCTATCTGTTTTATACAAAATGCTTTCAGTGTAAGACAGGGAACAGAATATTTACTTATAGATAACCTTTTTATCCATTACAGCAATGCATACCATCCCCTTGACTAACAAATAACAGAGAGGCAATATCTTCAGAATGCTTTATTATATTAATACATTTTGTATTACAATTTTATCTTCTTCACTGTGACATTTATTTCCCCTTTAATGAGTCAAAATGCCTAGCCAAGAGCTCTTGACTTTAAGCACATTCTTAACATCAGCATATTAACTGTCACATTCAGGCTAATAGGCTTAACTTATCTGTTTGAGATCTTTGTCAAACAAGACCCAAACCCCCAGATTTTAAAAAATTGATGTAAATGGAATCTTTCGATTTAGTGGCACTGGAAAGACAATAATACTGCTTCATCATCATCATAATAATACAAACATTCAGTATTATGGTTTTGCTCCCACGTATCTTTAACTGTGATAAGTGCCTCTTCTTGTAATAAAAGATACTGGACAAAAAGTAGTTTAACAGCGATTTTGAAGTCTTGATTTGCAACAGTTAGTCCATTCTGAACCCTTCATGTCTTTTTGTACTGCGAGGGCAAATAATTGTTGTAGCTTTCATCATGAGCTTAAGCATTACATTTTAGCAAACTGAAAAGTGCATGCAGATGGGTGTAACATCAATTTTTTTAAAGGTTATTACAAAGGCAACTGTAAGCAAATTAATGCAAAAACAAGAGGGCATTTTTTTCATAATCTCGGGTAATTCTGAGCAAAGTTTCAAAGCACCTCAGGTTCCTCTCAGGAATCTAGATGAAACAATTGCAGGTTTTGAATATTTTAAAATACTGGCTCTTATATTACATTAGCATGAATCACATTATCAATGCAAGGGAAATAATAAATGAAAATAAACACTAATGTGATCTATTTTCAAGAACAATTTTAGAATCAGATCCCTCATTAATTATGACTATTTTAATGGAAGGAGATAAACAAATGTACCTGACGTTTAGACAAGAGTCCCATCCTTTTCCTCCCCCTTAATCCAAAACAACTCTGCAGGATTTGAGGTTTCTGAAAAAACAATAGTGATAGATTTTCCATATTTGCCCTTATTTTTTTCTACTAGAAGAGCTTTACATACAGTGGTTGAAATTCTGTGTGGATTTGATCTTTGCACATTGTTGTCCAAAGGGCTATTTCTACCTTTCTCCATGGCACTGGGTCAGAGCTCACTGCTCACAGGAATGTGTTTTGGTAGGTCAGAAGTCAGAGAAACTGAATGCACTCTAGGAGATTGGGCCCACCAAAGTGTTTCTATATTTAAGCTGTCTTTCAGTGGTTATGGTATTTCTGAATTCTTACTCTTTTCTTGTGAAACTGGCAGATAGGCTTCATTTGCTTCCTTGTTTGCATGTATGAGGAAGTGAAAGGAAAAAAATATAAATTCTTTTAAGAGTGAATGCCACATGAGATAATTCCATTTGCTTGTCTGATGTGGCACTTTCAACCCAATTTCTCGTTTTCTCCTGATGAATAATCCAGCTCTTCCTGGTATGCACTGTTTAAGTGCTGGACATACGCTACAATAATAAGTACAAATAATTACTCTAATGGGGTGAACGAATAACACCAATTAGTTGGTGTGATGATGTTCCCATGATAAACTCCAACTTTATGGAGTTGTTGATTTTTAAGCCTAAAAGCTTTCTGATATCCTTTGTCAGGCAACAGTGTCACTTGACCACCTCAATTAACAAATCTCTCTTGCTTGACACATATAGCCATCGACTGTGCTCCTACTTAAGTCAAAATTTCAATTAACACCTAGTGCAGAACTACGTTTAGGCTCGACTATAAAGACACTCATAATACAGCAGATTTCCCGATGAATACTTATGAAATAATGCCATTGCCTATTTCCTGAGGAAACTTTAAAAATAATAGAAGTTTTGGTGTGCACATGTACTATGTTACATGTTGTGAAATCTATCCCTGGTTCAGAACAACACTTCAGACTGTTGCTAACTCCAAGCTTATTAACCTCAGTCATCAAATACAATGGACTTAGAGACATGTCTAAATCTAAGATTAAGTAACATTCAGAATAGAAGTGTTTTACTGAACTGAGTGTTAAGCTGAGGCATGCTCTTGTTCAACCACAGAGGACAGAGATTTTCGCTGAAGGAATATGTAGGTCTGTGCAACAGATTAAAATATTTGGTGTCATAATAGTGCTTCTGGAATTGAATATCTATGAACCTAATTCTCAATGCTTTTGCATTAAACTGTTCCTCCCAGCACTGTAACAGGTATTAAGCAGTACCGAACAACAGAAATTAATTAGTATGAGTTTAAAAAGATTTACATGTGTTTAAAATTTAAACCATATCACACCAGTGATACTAGTAATTTTGAAGGCCTTCTGCGCTTCTCATCCTTCCCCCACTAAGACCAACAGTTCAATCAATAAACCAATCTTTTTTTTTTTTTTTTTCCATTTTGTGTGGTATGTTCTTCCTTTCTATACCACATCTTGACTGTAGGAAAAAAGAAATTTAAGAATCACGCAGCAGATCATCAATAAACTTTTAAGGTCTGCTGAAACAAAATCCAAAGGTCCACTGAAATAAACAACAGGTATCAATGAGTTTACAATGATTCACATATATCTGCACTATATTCTGTCAGAAGGGATGGATGCTCTTCATCCACTCTGGTATAAAAACCAGACACATTGATATAAAATCTGGGCTCACCCCACAATTTACTGCCACACTTTCTGACCTACAGCTGACCTGTGACAACCCCATGCTCACAGACAGGGAGAGGAAGCTGTAACAATCCAGAAATCTTTCAGACCTCATGAGCAGTGATTCCAGAGTTGAAAACTTTCAGATAGAGACAGATCAGTGCTTTGTTAAATTAGAGATTTAAAACAGGAAAATGACCGGAGAAGTCAGAAGGATGGATTTTTCTGTAAAACTCACTGGCACACCAAACATAATCACCAAGTAAGTGGAGTTCTTCACTGGATATTAACTCACCAAGATGTTTCTCCACACACATTTAATGCTTCTTGTAACCCATGAATTGTTCTCTCAAAGAGCACTCTTATCAGCCTTTAGCACACTTGGTCGGAGTTGGAGGCCTGGCTGTTAAAAAGTGCTTTCACAATGTTGTACACTTGTTTATCCTGCCTGATGTCTCTGTAACAGGCAGTTCAGTGCAGCCGCTAGAACTTGTAACTTTCTCATTTGCTTGGTAGCTTCTTCACTGATGTTTAAGCAATAGTGATATCACTGCTAGAGTATGTCAGTCACTAACATCTTGGAAACAGAGGAGGAAAAGAAACAGATTTAAAATGCCCAGATGAGATAATAACAATACAGACATTCTTATCGCCAATAACAATATGAATATTCTTATCGTCTTTTGACAAAAGGCTACAGTAGTCCAGAAATGAAGAGGGTCTTACATCTCCATTGAGTCAGTACCCCAACGGAGTTACGCTAGTATGTGTGGTGCCTTGGAGTATTAAAAAGGGGAATCAGACTGGTAACTTCTAATTAAGTCGTGATAGGTCAGAGAATAGAATCCTGTATGTACTTTGGCAAATCAAAATTTTACCCAGTTGATGCACACTGTATGAAATACCATTTTTTGTTTTCAGACTCAAATTGCAAAACATCTGACAAGTTCCTAAACCTGATTGTAAAAATCCCCAAGTCATGAGCCAGTCGGATAAAAATCTGTTCATTGTAAAAAGGGAAGGGGGTAGGGTGGGGAAGGAAAGGTTTGGTGATAAGTCTGCTATGCTATTAAAACGTTTAACCACAGCCTGGGGCTCAAATCAGCATTCATGTGAAGTTCCTATTTATTAGAGCATATGAAAAGTATTCAGCAAAACTGGTGTTTTTTGTTTTTTTTTTTGGAAGGAGATGCACCCCAGTAATCAAAGTGTAAGATTAGATCAATTTCTTAGGAATACAGAAATGTGAGTGATAAAACCAGTCCAAAACTATGCTTCATCCCATTTAAAGTTTCTTGAGAAGATATTCCTATTTGAAATAAACAATAAAATAACACAGGATAAAATGGACGAGGAAGAAATCACAAAAGCATTTATCAAGATGAATTCAGGACCACACTGACTTGTCTAAATCTATATAAAGAAAATAGCCTGCAAGTCACTCTGAAAGCGATGGGAACCCATGCTTCAAACACATGTCTCGAAAGAATGTCGGAAATCTCGTTCCTCTTTTGGCTGCGGTTACAGATGCTTTCTCCAGACAATGGGCTCACTAGTTTCAATTGTCTGGAGTACTCAAAAATACATTTTCCCCTGGAAGATAGTCTGCATATGCTTACAATAAACATTAAGGAAATCAAATGACTTTCACTTCAGGATAAATACTTTCAAGTAAGTCTGTTAGAGACACATAGTAAATTGCTATTAATTAGTTTTTTCAATCTACTTAGGTTGTACTAATGAACACAATCACTTCTAACATATTTATATGCTGGATAAATCCTGCCTCGCTATATACACCTGTGAAAGGCCCAAGGTAAAATGGAGATATTCTGCTGGGGGAACACATAGGAGCCACTTTAGGACAGGGGAATGGTCCTGCTGGTTTTCTGTGTCACTGAACTCTGCTGGTTGAGGAACAGTCAGGAGAAGCTGTCTGCACTCCTGCCAGACAGCCGCCCTGGTGCCTGGGCTTCAGTGTGGCAAATTCTGCTGCTTTCTGGACACAAAATATATAAGTTACATAACACTGAAACTCCCAGCTCTGCAAAGCCAATGAAACCACATTTTCCTATAACCACTACTTCGCCTTTTTGCATGTTACCCTCTTGTAATGACTTGTTGTAAATTATATGATGGTATCTCTAGAGATAGGAACTTCTTTTCTTATGCTTGTGAACATAACCCAACACCGTAAGGTCCCCAGCCCCGACGGGACATTTCAGGGCATTACTGGAAGGACAGCAGTCATACCAATCCCTCTCAGCTCCCTTCTGCTAAGCCCAAATATGGAACAGAAGTAAGAATTAAAATTACATCTATACCACAATTTAAAACCAGTAATGTTACCTTCAGCAGTTTGAAGGTGGTTACTGGAAAATCCCTAGATACAGCAGACCAAATTTCTTGGTAATTTGCTTCACCAAGTCCTTAAAGAGTACTGAAATGCAATTCAATTATTTTTAGAAATTATATGCTCTATTTTTGTGTAAGTTTTCTTAACAGCTCTGAATACCTAAAGTAGTACTGCAGCAGACCACAAGGCCTAGATGTAGCTGAGAAACCTGCATGCATCACATAAAGCGTATGATTCCACAACTCATTAAGTCTAATTTATGGCATATGTAATTAAGCACCTTTGAATTGAACCCAGGTCTCTAGAGATAATAACACTTAGAACTTATATAGGGCTTTTCATCTTCAAAGTGCTTTACAAACATTAACTAATTAACAACATAATAAGACATGAAAGGCCCATGTACTTACACATAGTGCTGCATAGCCTCCGTATAATTCAGGTTTTGATGTTTTTCAATGCAAGATCCAATCTGGGTGCACAAGGAGGATTTACTTGTGGTCCCCTTCACAATCAGAAAGCATGACTTCGTACATATCATATATCTGAACTCCCAGAGTACATCCCTTCTCTGCTATTTATTGTTGAGTCAGAAGAAACAGCTCCCCAAAGTGAAGGAAGGTACGGAAAAGAGCAGCTCACAGCAGTCTGTGACGACATTTGAGTTTCCTGGGCTTTGGAGCCAGAGTAGTAGGGCCTAATGCAGGAAGGAGTTCCCAGAGAGTTCGCTGCATAAAATTTCTGGTATCACTTAAATCCATATCCTCCCCAAGATAAATCTAATAATTGCAGAAAGTCTCTAGGCACTGGCTAAACTATCGGGGAAAAGACCACATTTCAACTCAAATACATTTTATTGATAAAACCTACAATGTTTTCTTTTTTCTCTCTGCTCTTCTGAAAAGTCTGAAATATCTACCCAGTTTGTTTGTTATTTTTTGAGGGGTTTTTAATCTAATTTACACACAAGCCTTTTGAGACATTTGCCTTATTATCTCATTGAATGTGTTCTTGGTGATAGCAATGTTGCAGATGCTGTATCAGGTTACCTGAATCCCTCCTGAACATTACCAATATGGAAAGAGGAAAGATAAAATAACATAGAGAAATACAGAAAGATGAAGGAGCAAATAACATGGAGAGTTTCAGTGACCAGTCCTTCAGACATCAGCCTGTGTCAGTGACTGTTTTCATGAGCTCACCTGTCCACCAGGTAAAAAGATAATGGGTATCATGGCAGTACCTCTTGTCTTTCTCCAGACAGTGTCTGTCTCTGTCCCCTGGGGATTCTGCTATGCACCAAAAATTGAGAATTTGGGAACCGGTGGAAAAACATACCAAGCATGTAAGAGAGAACCATGCATATATGCATCCCTAACTCCTCTGCACATTAAAAAATCTCAGAAAGAAATGCAAATGACTCAGTGGTACTGGCACAGGTGGTGTCCCATGAGAAATTAAAGAAAATGAGACATACCATGGACCAGAAACAAAATGTATGCAGAACCAGCAGGCTTTTGTGCCTTCCCCACAGACAAGCAGTCCAGAACAAATGCTGAAAGGTAACAATCTCACAGTAGTAATGCCTACAAGAGATCCTACAATAAACATAGGGTCTAATTAAAAACGTTACAATTTTAAAATGCAAATGCAGAATAGAACAGTCAAAATGTTTTATCCCTAAAGTGTGAATGCTAACCTTCCCATACTTATTATATAGCAGTACATTTTAATTTGCCTGGAGCAGAGTCGAATAAAGCAAGCATCACAAACACAATCAAATGGATATTTGAAAGTACTGCTCTTCACAATAACTGTGTGTCTGAGCAAAGCTTCAAATGCTGATCAATTGATTACCAAAATCAAAGAATACATTTCCCAAATGAGCTTCTACAAAGCACTCAATAGCACCAGAGAAAACAGCATAAAGCTCCACAGAACAGCAGTCTTCTCTAAAATATTTAGAAATGAAACTTTTTACTGCTTTCCTGGTTTATAGCTTAGATCTGCACAGATCTAGAGTGAAGAATAAAGCACTTCTGATAAATCAATGGTTTGATTCAGTTTCAGCATGGCAAATTCAGTTAAACAAAGACAGAAAACTGTTTGAAATGATCCAAAGATATACTTTAAATCTTATGGCAAATCACAGTCTCTCTCATACAATTGCTTAAATGACTTTTGCACCTTTAATAAACAAAATTAGAGCAAAATATATAAAATGCTATAATTGCAATCCATGTGTGAATATTCTTATTTCATAAGGCACAGCTCTTGATTTTTTTTTTCCTTAGAAATAAGACAGATCTATTCACACTTATCTGTCCCTCTGGAATCTTCTTTCCTCACAACATTGCCTGTAAGAGTACTATATAGTCATAAGGGTGAGATGCTTGCCCTGGTTTTGAGCTTGTCTCGGGCAATTACTATTTGCTCAGCAGAGGCCTCTATTGAGCTAACCACAGTTCACAAGAGCACTCATGGGTATTCTCCAGCTCCTCCCCACACTGGCACAGCTATTATTGAGAATGACTAAATAGTAACCATAACCACTAGCGTTCTGTCCATCTGCCATCTCCAGTGAGTTGGTTTCTGCTGCTGTTGTGATGCTGTACTTCTACTGCTTGTCATAAATGGGTTTCTCTGTCAGTCAACTTCGGAGGATAATGCCCACCAAACCCACCCAGTTTTCATTTAGTGACTTTAACCTGAAAGAATGAAAAGTAACTTTCAACGTGAAACAAAGATATTTGTTACATGAGCTTACATTTTATCCCCCTTCTAAAGTCAGGTTTTCTTGTATCTCTTCTTGAAGTAGTCTCATTTGTTGTGCTCTGCTGTCCTCACCCCTGAGCTGGGTGCAGATTCTGCAATATTTCCTTTAGAGAGCAAAATTCATAGTTGTTCCAGAGCAAGTAAACTCTCAGCATCTCAGTAAGAGGCATTTGTCCTGAAAAACGCAATGGGATTTTGACACCATTATGTGACTGCTGTCCTAGTCTGGAAATTTTAAGGGAAAAACCTGAAGGATCAAACCTGTTTTGTCGATTTAAACAAAAAGTTTGCTCAAGAGCATCTTAAAATACTAGTTAAAAAGCCTCTACCTTCAGAGCTTCTGACATTTGATGTCGAGGTTCTGACTCTATTAGGATGCAGATTCTATAGCCCTTAATCTTTCCCATAAACCACCGCTTCATTAAAGAGCACAAAACCCAACCGCCCACACCACATCGCACTCTCAGTAATTTGTAGAGATTACACAGGCTTGCAGAATTTTTCCTTTTCTACACAAATACCTTTCTGGTACATACCTCTGCTGAAATTCTCTCGTATAAGCAGAGCGCACTCCAGGGCTTATTGCATCTTCAGCAAATGAACAAATATTTAGCCTTATGACAATTAGGCAGTTGACTTTCCACCTGTACCTTTCATCTCTGATCTGGAAAAGCAGCACGATGGAAGGAGCCTGCCAGAAAAAAAGAAAAAAGGAAAAAAAAAAAAGAGGAAAGGACAGAAATGATGACTGGCCAATGTTGACAGAGGAGCCAGACACATGGGAGATCAATAGTTTATAGGGAAGATATATTTTAATTCTCCTTACATTTTTTTTCAGTTCATTTCACCTGAGCTGTACTTGAAGAAACCAGGATTTATCTCCTATTGCTCTGTGAGTTATGGTAAGGAGGACTTTCAGCGATCTCACAGGTAACACAGGAAACCTCTCACTGATCTGTATGTCCTCAGGGTGCCAAGGGAGATGTCACAATTTCTGTCCCTCACTAGTATTTGCTGTTTTACCAGACACTCACCAGGGACACCCACTCTTTCAGCAGCAGCTGGGTGGGATAAGGAATATTTTATTCAACTCCGTCCTCCCTTTGCCAGTTAATGAGAGATTTTGGATGGCAAAACCAAGGACTTTTTTCTTCCAGTGCTGCACATGGACCTGCCTTCCCCTCCTTTTGATCCTGTACTACTGTATCATATCATCCTTCGGTATCTCAGTCAGCTCCTAAACCTGGGAGGAAACAGCAGCAATTCTGCCTCTGGATCTTGTTTTGATATAGGTCTGCTAATCAAATAAATTTCCTTAGTCTTGCAACAGGTGATTTAATGGTATTGTTAATCCCATTTTACATCTACAGAATTGAGGCACACAGTAATTGCTTGGACAGGAGGCTGGGCACCAAACCTAGATTTCCTGTTAAACTCTTCACTGTTCATTTTCTGATACTTCAGTTTTTTCTTTTTGCTTTAATGTATTTGCATAACAGTTACCAAAAAAAAAAAAAAAGATCAGAGCCAAAAACAAGTCAATGAAAGTAATTAAAAGAATTTAAATAGATAATGGCATTTCTTCTTCCATATGATTGTGTTGTGTACAATAAGGCAAGATGAGGTTCTTCCCGTGCTAGCAGGTAGCTGTAACTCTGCAGAGAGTTACTGATGTGATCATATTGATCAGACAAGATGGAACATGTTACTGAGGCAATTGGTCAGGCTAAAGCAGTGATGGCAGCACATGGGGTATTATGGATGGTTGAGGTAGCTGCAGATATCTATCTTTCTGTCTATCTACCTGTTTTCCAAGATGTCTATCATCATTGAACTTAGCTACCAAGGAACAATGGCAGCATTTAATCATCAATAGATAAATACTGTTTACGCCATTAATTGGGGACTGGGTCAGATTTTCCTTGTTTGTACCTTTGCTGCTCTTTTCTTTTTTTTTTTTTCCCCACCACAGTTGTGAGACAGTAGCATTTTCTCACAGCCTGTATGTGTTGCTTTGGGACTTGTGTCAGTGGCAACAGCATAGCTCTGTGTGTCTGCCAGAGCTCCTTTCCAGGAAAACAAAATAGCCAACTGATGAGAGTTGGTACGAAATTTCAAACCCAGCACCTTTTCATAATATCTGCAATATGATTTGGAAGCAGCAGCAGTGTGACCAGTCTCTGCACCTGCTCCTTCACCTGCAGTCAGAAGTGGCTGAATAGCAGAGGGAGTTTCCCAAGCAATACCTGCAGTAAACCCACAACCTCCATGGCTGCGATTTCTCTATAGTTAGTATTCAGCAAAGAGACTGCCACAGTGCAGAGCTGTGTGTTTGCTGGTATTTTTTATTGTTCAGAGCTTTTGAGAACACTTTACTGAAGCCTATAATGCTGCCTTGAAATTGGCTTCTAAACCACATTTTGAGAAGAAGAAACACAGGCACTTGGCTGAGTGTTTTTGCCCTGTGCCACGGCTTGCTTGAGTCAGAAAAGCACCCCCATCTCCCCCTTCCAAATGTCCTCTCGGCAAAATTCTCGTCAGTCTGTCTCTGATCACGACACTCCCCTGTAATTTAACAGCTTCTCTCTCTTTTTTTTTTTTTTTTTTTTTTTTTTTTTTTATGAGCTCTGGTATATAGGTTTTCCCCTTTCAGTCTAAGATTTAGGCTCTTACATTGTTTTAAACTCTTAGGAGAATTCATTTATCATCACAGAGTCTTACATAAAGAGAGTCTTCCGGGGGTAACATTGGGAGTAATCGTAGTGCCCTCCTGTTTTTGTCTGAGGTATATCAAAAGGAGAGCTAGATAGTCTAAATTAGGCAATGGAGTTTTTGCCTTGACATTTGGGAGGTTAAATTTTGCCTGTGACTGTCAGTCCCTCGGAAGAGGAGATGGCATTTGGAGTAATCCAAAACTCCTGCAGAGTTACATTACTGTGGCAGCCAGACTGGAGTAAATCGAGGCTGAAGATCTATTGGTTCAATTACTGCTTGGGGTCAGGACATGCCATAAATTATTCGATATGCAAATGGAAAACTCTGACTGTTGATGAAAGAAAGATGGATGGATTTCTTAAATACTCATAATCAGTGTTAAGACTAACTATAGACTGATGTACAATCATTTGCTTGTAAAAGACTTCTGTTCTTAAGTTTTAGCTGTGTGCAGGTAAAAATAAATTATTTTTTTATGTGTGTGTCATTTAAAAAATAAACTTAAGAAGTCTTTGGAGGTTCTGCAACACCCCTTAATTTTTAAAAATAGGCTCAGAAAGAAATTCAGAAGATGCTAATTCTTATTCTGTTCTCACCAGAGTGTAAATCTGCAACACTGCTCTGTATTCAATGAAGACACACTGACAATGTATTTGGGAGGAGAATCAGTTCCTTTGCTCTATGGAGGTAGGGTGTGCAAAGAATGCCACAAAACTAAGTCAGGTTTGGGAATTTGCTGCAGAGTGAATGAGTGCTGGTACATGATAACATGACCTTATCACAACATGAACTCTGTGGTGCTTCAAGAGATTTTTGTGGATAGAAAAATAAAATGTAATTAAGATACTACTCTATCACACCTGTTTTTGCTGTTCCTTAAATACATTATTTATAGTCTTATTTCTCAGTGTGATTAAAGTTGGAAGAATCTGACCCCCACTTTTGTCATGTAGAAAGTTTGCTACATCTATAAAAACTTGTGGAATTTCTCTTGTGGATTAACTCTTTTGGGAGAGAAGTTTTTATTACATGTAAGACAAAATTATTATGAGTGTTGAGAATAACGTGAGCTATTCAACGCCACCTGCTGCTGCAAGGGGAA